TTCCTTGACTATTATATCCAATATGTAAGCAGAAGTGTTGTGTCATCGAAATGCTCTGGAGCACTGGTTCCTGAAATGGAAATTATGGTTTTAAATATGACTACTTTAATCTGATGGTGACATTACACATGACAGAAATTCTTGCAGAGCTCTGAGACTATAACATTTTTTAGCACTACATCATTAATCAAAGCTATAAATCTTGAATAATACTATCTTGCATTCCTAGAAAATGTGTTTGAAATTAGGCTTAAATAGTAGTGAAGTGTGTCTTGTAGTTCTACAGATATGTATGTCTAAGTCTAGTATATTTTGCTATCAATCAGTATGTCAGATATTTGGAAAAGTGTTTGTCTTACAGTTCTTGTTAAACATTTTTCAGTTACCTTTATTGTTTTTCACTTTTTGTAATATTTTGTGTAAAAAGTAAACAAAAATCAAAAATATTCACTATGAGACTTTGTGTTTTTTGTAAAAAAATGATGGTTTTGTAAATCTCCTAGGATACTGTCAAAATGTTTCCCTATTATATTGATGTGGTGTTTCAATCTTCTCCAGTTTGAGATGTAAAGTTTGCTTACTTTAACACATTATTCTTGCTATACACTCTTTATGTAGTGAATTCAGAGATTTTATATTCATGTATTTTGTTATTTAAGGTTCATTTTTAGTGAAATTATATTTCTTCAATTTAAAAAAACTCCCTTGAGATTTAACTTTATCTAATATATAAAACAAAGTGTTTCACTTTTCTTGTTAGATGTGCATTATTTTCATACATGTATGTTGAAATATTGTTATCAAAAATAAAGATATAATAAATAGTCAACTACTTGTCTCTTTAGTATCTCAAAATACAAGATTTACTGTGTGATTTAACTATACTCCTGATCATTTTATTGTGTGTCAGATTTAAAAAAATAATATTATATATGTATATGGGTTCTGTTTTTTTTGTTTTTTGCCATTTGTCAAAATAAATGGCTTTTACTTATATTTCTTAATAGTATAAATATATACTATGTAGTTGTTGGGCTTAGGATTCTTCTACAGTAGGTGTCTGTGACTTGTTGTTCGCGATAAATTCAATAAACAGCACACACTTGTTTTCAAATAATATATATATATATATATTCGGAACAAGTTAAACGTGATTATAGTATTTTGGCACTTGTGTATAA